ACTGAATGCAGTCCTGTTATAACATTCACATCAATACACGACTCAGAGAAGCATCGGTTTGAATCGGTTGGACGACCCTTAGAGCACTTGGAGGCAAAAATAATGAATACAACTACCGGTGAGATCTGTCCTATCGGTGAAGCGGGAGAGGTGTGCACTCGAGGGCACAATCTGTTCGCCGGGTATTGGAATCAAAAGGACAAAACAGATGAAGTGATCGACAAGAATAGATGGTATCACACGGGGTATGGCTTATGAATGAATGTATGACTTATATGTATTTGTATTTGAAATGAATTAAAAACATTTGTCTGTGATTTGGTTTAGAGACATCGGAATAATGGATGAATTGGGATATATTTCAATTAGTGGCCGATTAAAGGATATGATAATAAGGGGCGGAGAAAACATTTATCCCCGAGAAATAGAGGACTTTATTATTAAACACGACGATGTGGTAGATATTCAGGTATTAAATTATTATATCAACATAACATAAATTTAATATTTAGTTATATTTTGAATTAATAACTAATAATATTGTAATGCAAAGGTTGTGGGAATTCCTGACGAGAGAGAGAGAGAGAGAGAGAGAGAGAGAGAGAATTTAGTGAATTAGTTAATAATGGACGATAATTGATTGTGGCACATAATGTATACATATTATGTTCTAAAGTACATCAAAAACATTGAACTTACACTTAAAATAACATACAATATATACTTTACTGTACTTAAGTTTGTTTATTAAGTTTATTAAATATGCTTTCAAACGCTTACATATTAGTTAACATAATTTGCTCTGACCTTCAATACTAGAATATGATATAAATACTTGTCATTTAATCATTTCTATCGTAAATATACAATAATTAATTAGACATTTATATGAAAACCAATTTTAACACATTATTAACCATAATTGTTTGAAATTTTTATTTTGTGAGTTATAATGTTTTTCCCGAAAATCCTTAGTTCTTCGAGGGCTTTGAAAGGCGTAAAGTTAGTGAACACATATCGGTGTAAATATAGCTATGCGTTCACAAAATCCAATGAATCGCTGACTCCGACAACAATCGGACAATTGCTGGAGAAGAGAGCCGTAGACTCGGCCGACACTATGGCCTGCTTTTCGATGCATCAAAATATTAGCAAAACTTATAGACAATTGAATGAAGACGTGAGACAAATGCAGAATTGTATTTTGAAAATGTCTAAAATTGAATTCAATAATAGGTAAATAAGTTGGCGAAAGGTTTACAGAGTATTGGTTGTGCTAAAGGGACTCGAGTGGGCATTTGGTCCCCCAATTGCTACGAATGGGTTGTCACACAATACGCCACCGCAAAGATCGGGGCCATTATGGTTAGCAACCGGCGATTTTTTAACCATTTGTTTTATAAGTGATTTTTCATAAATATTGTTGTAAATTATGTTCGTTTGCTCTGAAAGTTTAGGTGAACGTTAACCCCGGATATCAGGCCATGGAAATGGATTATTGTCTCAATTTAGTCGGTTGTCATACATTGATATGTAATCAACGCTTTAAGGGAACTAATAATTGTGATATATTAGAGAGTTTGGAACCCAATATCTTAACTAAAGCCGATGAACATCGAGTTAAAAGTTGTGTTTATTATAAAATTTAATTTAAATTTAACAAAATATTTTTACTAACAATGTTTAGGTAATAAAATCCCAACTCTTAAGAATATTCTTGTGATGAATAACACGGATGGAGAGGAATACGCACCAAAGAATATGATTAGATTTAATGAGTTTATCAATAGTTTTGACGGCAATAATAATGTGAACACATCTTTTGATTTTGACGAATCCATTAATATTCAGTTCACTTCCGGCACAACCGGTGCCCCGAAAGGCGCGACTCTAACCCATCATAATATTATACAAAACGCATACTTCGCTGGAAAACGAGCTCTCGAAGGTCTAACTGATAAGATTCTATGTATATCTCCGCCACTCTATCACTGTTTTGGATCAGTGGTCGGCGGAGTCGTAGCCGCTGTTCATAAGGGGACTCTAGTATTGCCCTCACCCGTACACAATGCCACCGAGACTCTTAAGGCTATCGACAAATACAAGTGAATTACTTTTATAATATTTGAATTTTTAAAAATAAAATTTGTGTTACTTTCAGATGTGATGTGGTTTACGGCACTCCCACTATGTTTATCGATCTGTTGAATTCAAATCCTCAGGACTACAACACCAGTTCATTAAAAAGAGGTTTTTAAAAGTAAAAATTTAATTAATTTTATCTAAATATCTGTTGTCATAAATGATAGGTTTTATGACTGGGAGTCCCTGTCCTAAGCCCTTATTGGAAGCCTTTATAAAAGCCTTTCCCTCGTGTGAACACATTCTGGTCTATAACTAAATTAAAATATTTAATAATTTACTCGTTAACTCTTTCTAACATTGTTTAACCAATAGATACCTTATGGGACAACTGAATGCAGTCCTGTTATAACATTCACATCAATACACGACTCAGAGAAGCATCGGTTTGAATCGGTTGGACGACCCTTAGAGCACTTGGAGGCAAAAATAATGAATACAACTACCGGTGAGATCTGTCCTATCGGTGAAGCGGGAGAGGTGTGCACTCGAGGGCACAATCTGTTCGCCGGGTATTGGAATCAAAAGGACAAAACAGATGAAGTGATCGACAAGAATAGATGGTATCACACGGGGTATGGCTTATGAATGAATGTATGACTTATATGTATTTGTATTTGAAATGAATTAAAAACATTTGTCTGTGATTTGGTTTAGAGACATCGGAATAATGGATGAATTGGGATATATTTCAATTAGTGGCCGATTAAAGGATATGATAATAAGGGGCGGAGAAAACATTTATCCCCGAGAAATAGAGGACTTTATTATTAAACACGACGATGTGGTAGATATTCAGGTATTAAATTATTATATTAACATAACATAAATTTAATATTTAGTTATATTTTGAATTAATAACTAATAATATTGTAATGCAAAGGTTGTGGGAATTCCTGACGAGAGAATGGGAGAAGATTTGGTGGCATTTGTTATAAAGAAAACTAACAGTACTTTAGATAAAGACTCGTTAAGAAGTTATTGTAAGGGAAAGGTATGAAACTAATTAAAAATTATGTTTTTATATGTGTTATTACTGTAAATCATTTCACCGACAGATAAGTCATTTTAAAATACCGAAAAATATTGAATTTGTTGACGACTTTCCCCGAACTGTGACCGGAAAGATTGAGAAATACAAACTCAAACAAATGGCTCAACAATTATACGCTAAATGATTGCAATGCTATTTAGTAAAAATCATTGCAACAAAATTTTGTATCATTAGAAATAAAAGTTATGAATATTAAATGAAATGCTAAATTAAAATATTTTGTATTGATTCAAACACTTTTTGGATGATAACTATAACTGTTAAATCATTTTAAAAAATTACAAATGTTCACTAAAATTTCGTAATAAAAAATTGATATTTATAAAAACTTGAATAAAATTTAATGAAATTATTAAATTAAATTTCAATACATTTATAATGCAGAAATCATAATATGATGATATTATCATGAAATAATGGTTAATTCAGACAAATAAGGTGTAGTCACTGTATTTTAAAACAATTTTAAAATTAAAATTTTCAATAAAATTAGATTCATGACAACAATAGCCAATTGAATGGTCACAACACTGTATTGTACTCTTCGCGCAAACATCACGGAAGACAATAATACATAGTATAACATATTGTTAGTAAATCATATTATAAAGTATATTATTTTTAAAAATTCAAATTTATTTCGAATATATTAATTCAAGTTATAAGACACTAAAATACTTATGAAGAATTGAGTTTTACTGTCACTACTATTTGCGAACACATGTTTTCATTGAAAACTTTGTGGTCTTCGAGATCTCTAACGGGTGTAAAGTTAGTGAATACATATCGGTGTAAATATAGCTATGCGTTCACAAAATCCAATGAATCGCTGACTCCGACAACAATCGGACAATTGTTAGAGAAGAGAGCCGTAGACTCGACCGACACTATGGCCTGCGTTTCGATGGATCAAAGTATTAGCAAAACTTATAGACAATTGAATGAAGACGTGAGACAAACGCACAAAATTGACACAATTTTGAAAATATTTAAAATTTAATTTAATAAAAGGTAAATAAATTGGCGAAAGGTTTGCAGAGCATTGGTTGTGTCAAAAGGACTCGAGTGGGCATTTGGTCCCCCAATTGCTACGAATGGGTTGTCACACAATACGCCACCGCAAAGATCGGNTGTGTTATTACTGTAAATCATTTCACCGACAGATAAGTCATTTTAAAATACCGAAAAATATTGAATTTGTTGACGACTTTCCCCGAACTGTGACCGGAAAGATTGAGAAATACAAACTCAAACAAATGGCTCAACAATTATACGCTAAATGATTGCAATGCTATTTAGTAAAAATCATTGCAACAAAATTTTGTATCATTAGAAATAAAAGTTATGAATATTAAATGAAATGCTAAATTAAAATATTTTGTATTGATTCAAACACTTTTTGGATGATAACTATAACTGTTAAATCATTTTAAAAAATTACAAATGTTCACTAAAATTTCGTAATAAAAAATTGATATTTATAAAAACTTGAATAAAATTTAATGAAATTATTAAATTAAATTTCAATACATTTATAATGCAGAAATCATAATATGATGATATTATCATGAAATAATGGTTAATTCAGACAAATAAGGTGTAGTCACTGTATTTTAAAACAATTTTAAAATTAAAATTTTCAATAAAATTAGATTCATGACAACAATAGCCAATTGAATGGTCACAACACTGTATTGTACTCTTCGCGCAAACATCACGGAAGACAATAATACATAGTATAACATATTGTTAGTAAATCATATTATAAAGTATATTATTTTTAAAAATTCAAATTTATTTCGAATATATTAATTCAAGTTATAAGACACTAAAATACTTATGAAGAATTGAGTTTTACTGTCACTACTATTTGCGAACACATGTTTTCATTGAAAACTTTGTGGTCTTCGAGATCTCTAACGGGTGTAAAGTTAGTGAATACATATCGGTGTAAATATAGCTATGCGTTCACAAAATCCAATGAATCGCTGACTCCGACAACAATCGGACAATTGTTAGAGAAGAGAGCCGTAGACTCGACCGACACTATGGCCTGCGTTTCGATGGATCAAAGTATTAGCAAAACTTATAGACAATTGAATGAAGACGTGAGACAAACGCACAAAATTGACACAATTTTGAAAATATTTAAAATTTAATTTAATAAAAGGTAAATAAATTGGCGAAAGGTTTGCAGAGCATTGGTTGTGTCAAAAGGACTCGAGTGGGCATTTGGTCCCCCAATTGCTACGAATGGGTTGTCACACAATACGCCACCGCAAAGATCGGGGCCATTATGGTTAGTTAGCGGACATTTTGAAATTAATGTACATTTTTAATATGTTTGAAAATATAGGTTAACATAAACCCCGCATATCTGTCGATGGAAATGGACTTTTGTCTCAATTTAGTCGGTTGTCATACATTGATATGTAATCAACGCTTTAAGAAAACCAATCTTTGTGATACATTAGAGAGTATGGAACCCAATATCACAACTAAAGTGGACGGGCATCGGGTTAAAAGTGAAGTTAATGTAAAAATTTTAATAATTCGTTAAATTAAATATTGTGTTTTGATATAATGTTTAGGCACTAAAATCCCAACTCTTGAAAACATTCTTGTGATGAATAGCACGGATGGAGAGGAATACGCGCCGAAGAATATGATTAGATTTAATGAGTTTATCAATAGTTTTGACGGCAATANATAATTCGTTAAATTAAATATTGTGTTTTGATATAATGTTTAGGCACTAAAATCCCAACTCTTGAAAACATTCTTGTGATGAATAGCACGGATGGAGAGGAATACGCGCCGAAGAATATGATTAGATTTAATGAGTTTATCAATAGTTTTGACGGCAATACTAATATGAACACAGTTTTTGATTTCGACGAACCCATTAATATTATGTTCACTTCCGGCACAACCGGTTCCCCGAAAGCGGCGGTTCTGAGTCATCATAATATCACACAAAACGCTTACTTTTTTGGAAAACTTCTTACCGAAGGTCTCACGAGTAACATATTTTGTGTCGTTCCACCACTTTATCACTGTTTTGGATCAGTTTGCGGATCAATTGGGGCCACCGTTCATAAGGGGACTCTAGTACTGCCCTCACCCATGCATAACGCCATTGAAACTCTTAAGGCTATTGAAAAATACAAGTGAATTACTTTTAAATTTATTAAATATATTTTTTAATATTCATTGTTTGGATTTGAAAGATGTTCTCTGGTTTTTGGCACTCCCACTATGTTTATCGATATCGTGAACTCAAATCCTCAAAACTTTAACACCAGTTCATTAAAACGAGGTTTTTTTATTAATTATTTGTTTATTTAAAGTTTATTTAAAACAAAGATATAATTGTTTAAAATGATAGGTATAATGGGCGGTAGTGTTTGTCCTAAGCATATATTGGAGAAAACTATGAAAGCCTTTCCGTCGTGCAAACACTTTCTGGTTTACAATTATATCCATATTTATTAATTAGTCATTTATTACTTTATTGTTAATATGTTTAACCAATAGGTGGGTTACGGGACGACTGAATGCAGTCCTGTTATCACTGCCACAACAATACACGACTCAGAGAAGCAGCGGTTGGATACGATTGGACGACCACTCGAGCTCTTGGAGACAAAAATAGTGAACACAACTACCGGTGAGATCTGTCCTATCGGTGAAGCGGGAGAGATATGCAGTCGCGGACACAATGTATTCTCCGGGTATTGGAATC